TTTCAACCTAATTAGCAGCTGCTCAAAGATGGGAAACAGGTGCAGATCCAGGGCCAGACCAGGGAAGTCTGCCTGTAATTAACGAGGAAAAAAGGGTCAGATATTGGGAAGAATATCAAATCGGCCCACTGGGGTTAGCATGCTGGCCTCAAAGGCATAGTCACCTGAGATCTTAAGCATGCTAATGTAAATTATGCAAGCTTTCAAACAACGTGGCTGCATAATCAGTTGGCAGAGTGGAAAATGATTTTTCCCCTGTAAGAGAGTAGGGAAAAGGGCATCTACAAAACTTAACTTTATTTATTTTTTTAGCATAGTGTGGACTTTAGTGAAGGGAAAATATAGAATGTTGGTATTTTCTCAGAGGCAACAAAGGATTGCTTGCAAGCTGTTAACCAATTGCAAATCTTCAAGAAATAGTTGGAGTTTGTAGGAAAATCTAATAGTCAGGTTATTTAGAGAGTTATGTTCCTAGAGGTGTTTGAAAGTAGATACATTACACACATGAGCTGTGATATAATTATATTGGTTTTGGTTATGCAGTTATTTGAATTATTTCCCATGACTTTGTTCCCTTTAGACTAACGGGGGCTAACAGTTAGACTAAGCTTAAAGAAAAAGGAAAAAAGAGATAAATACCTGATCAATATATGATGAGCAAGACTGTATGCCAGGCTGATGATTTTGGATTTAATAATCAAGTTTTAAGTATCAAAACATTCTTCTTGTTGTCACTCATGGAACTTAAAATCCGTCCTAGTTTGTGACTTTGCACTCAGTCCTTTTAGCATTTAGCTTCTTGACTCCCAGTGAGCTGTTTCTTACTCAGTATCAAATATCCTAGACTATAAGTCACTAAGCAATTGGTGGCAGGTCTTGGGTATCTTAGCCAAATGAGTTGCTATACTAAAAAATATTCCTTGAGCCTCAGATGCTCATAAGAGTCAAGGTTTTTGTTTCTCATAATGCATGTTTTAATAGGCTGGCTTGGACTCTGTATTGATTTCATTATAGACATAACTAAAAGGGACATTGTCTCTCAAGAACATCTCTGGAATGCATTCTCTGCTTGAAGAGCCAAGGCAATAATGAGGCAGTTTAATAACCCTCCTTTAAGAAAGGGCAGTGAGTACTTTGAACAAAATCAAACCAACTGGAGTGACTTAGGTAAGTCTATGCACTATTACAGAGTCCAAACATTGCTGTAGTGTGAACTCAGGTATCTACTTGCAATGTCAGGATGAAATAGAGTCCTGTGGCTATAGTATTTGCACGTGTTCAATGCAATTCCCAGGTTTGCTTTCAGAATTTCTTTCACTGGCTCAAGAAAAGTGTCCAAAATTGCAAGTTTTTAAAACTATACCTTAAAACTTGGCTGCCATATTCCATACATGTACTGTGATACTAGAACTTGGCGATCTTATTTACCTCACAGCAACACTGACGTCTTGGGATATCATCCCTGTGTATGGAATTCATGGCTCAGAGATTTAGATTTTCACAGGAACTTAAGTATCAGCAATGGGGGTGGATTTGGGGGGTGCTAGCTCACTTTAGACCTTCTTCATGATATCTCTCTATGCTCCCCTGTTTGGGTTGGGCTTTTTATCTTCTTGTCTGAGTCCTAAAATGCCAGGATTGCAGGTATGTGTCAGCACACTCATCTTAAAGTACCCCCTTTTAAGGCATCATGTTACCTTTACAGATGCAGGAGGATGGGCAGAAATACATGTCTTGGGCTTTTGTCACAATCATACTCTGATTCTGAGCTGATTAGAAGAGATGGGGAGGATGCCAGCTGAACTTTAGCCAGTGATTCTGGGCCTAGAGGAGGCTGATAGAAATAGAGATTAGGACATGCAAGGTAGGGTCCCTTGAATGCAATGCTTTGTGTGACAAAGTTTCTCAACATTGTCCCTAGCATTGCCGTTAGATAATTATTCTTTATTCTGTGTGTATGTGAAAGGATTGTTTTCAGGAATCTTAGCAGCATGCCAACCTTTAGTAACTGGATGCAAATACCAACTTAACAATTGTGAAAACCAAACAGTGTCTTCAGACATTTATAAATGTCTTACAGTGCGATATGGATGCAAAACACATTTAGCTAAGAAACATGGTTTTCTATCCAAATGATATAGTCATACACAATCCAAATAGCACTGCGTATGTAAAATCTAACTCAAGCATTACAGGCTGTGTTGTGGAGTGGTCATAATTAAACGCATTATTTGATCCCTTACTATATGGGAGGCACACGACTAACTTGTGAGAGGAAGAGGTAGCAAGTCGTTGAGGGAGAGCAGTCTAGTCTTACCCAAATGCATGCTAACTGTACGTTCATAGTGGAGACAAAAAAAATAGGAGACAAGGCTGGAGTCTGTTAATATATACAAATACAACAAAGAGTATTGAGCAGAATTTGATAATGGATAGAAAAGAAGGAAGCTAAGTTTTTATTCTGTGTCTCTCCCCAAGAGTAACTTCAATTACGTATGTTCAGATAGATGCTAAAGCCACAAATGTTTTAAAATCTCTGCCTCCAACCCCAATCCCAGTACATAAGGTATTCAGGACGGATGATGGTGATTTCGAATGGACTCCTAGTCCCACCTTAGCTTTGAGGCTAAGATCATCCAGGAGAGATGATAATTTGAATTAATTGACCTCCTTTTACTTCAGTTTAGGAAGATAAGAATGGAAAGAGAGGGCATAAGGAAAAATACTGAAAGAAGAGATGAAGAGTCTGTGCGGTGTAATTAAGAATGCTAGCAAGTTAGCATTACAAATATCAATTTCAAGGTGCAGGATGATTAGGGCAGTAGAGCTTTGGGCATAACATTAACTATAATTGGCATAAATAATCCTGCTTTAAACTGGAGAATAGTAATGTAAACTTGTAATATTTTAATTACCATTATAGTCCATGTTACAGACTAGTAGGGATATACCCCAAATGAAATTTTCAAGGTCTCTTTCCACACTTAACATGGCAGGCCAGAGGAAATCCAATCATATTCAGTAAAGACACCATTTATGTCTTTTTGTGTGTGGTTGCTTAAAAAGTTGGTTAAGAAAATCTGGGTTAGGTAAGCGGGGGGGTGTAGTATATTTCTATTGGAAAAGCATTACAAATTGACAAAATAATGGAATAAACAAGAGATATATTTTGAGTAAATCAACTAGCTTGTTTTTGTTGTTTTGCTTTTTAGTACTGGGAGTACACATAGAACCTCATACATGCTTGGTAAGTACTCTATCTAAGTTACATCCTCTTATGTACTTTCAAATTATTATTATTATTTTATTTGAAACATGATTTCACTAAGTTGCCTAAGGTGGCCTTGATTAAACTTGCAATCATCTGGTCTCAGCCTCCTCAATGGTCCAGATTATATAGATATCATATGTAACATATAACATATGTGAGATAGTACATAGCTAAGATAAAACAGATCTATACTGCCAGGTAAGACTTTCACTAAGCATTAAAAAAATAAAAAGAGGGCTGGAGAGATGGCTCAGAGGTTAAGAGCACCGACTGCTCTTCCAGGGGTCCTGAGTTCAATTCCCAGCAACCACATGGTGGCTCACAACCATCTGTAATGAGATTTGGTATCCTCTTCTGGCCTGAAGGCATGCATACAGACAGAAAATTGTATGCATAATAAATAAATAAATCTTAAAAAAATAAAAAGAAGGAAAGTAAAGAAAGAAAAATTATCCAAAAGTTAGGGTCAGTTATCTTCAGAGGAAGAACGTTACATTGTCGGTTCTGTTAAAACATCAGACAGCTCTGGAAGGCCCTCATAAGTGCATGCTACAACTCACTTAATAACCAATGTGTGATTTTTCTTGTAAAATTCCAATGGAAATTTCATGTGCTGATGTGTACGACTTGAGACTGTTAGACGAATTTTTATTCCTATCTTATGAAGTTGTATACTTTTTCAGTAGCCAATAATCTAGGAGTTTTGCTTTGGTTAAAGACCAAGGAACATAGGATGCTAAGTACTGTTCATGCAGATAGAACACTTTTAGGGGGAATCTACAGATGTGGGGATTGATTTAATAGAAAAGTCTCCTATATGCTTACGAGAACTGTTTTAAGTAAGCTTAAATTTTCTAATAAGATTTTTAAGTACAAAATATGATAATGATGACAACTATTTGAGAACAGGATCTCATTATATAGCAATGGGTGGGCTATAACTTGGCATGTACACTTGGCTTGCCTCAAACTCACTGAGATCCACTTGTCTCCCAAGTGCTGGGACTAAATTTTTACTACAATGCCTAGCCACCAGATAATACTTTTAACAGCAGGGTATTAAAATATATTAGACAAGTCAGCAATAAAATAATCGATTTCATCTCTTTAAAAACTCAAATCTAAATAGGACAGTTTTATTTAAATCACTGTTAAGTAAATTTAACTGGGATTGTTGTTTCTAGGTAATCTGGAATTACAATTGTCTGCTTGCTATGTGTTCAACAACCACTAAATGAACACATGTGACTTGTAGGGCTAATATGGTCTCACTGTTGTCCCACATCATGCTGCATATTATTAACAGGGAAACACGAGGCTGTGTTTTATAAATAGCAGTAAATAGAGCAGAATCATTTAACATTTCCATCAAGTTCAACAGCTGCCCTCAAACCTTCTTTTAAAATTCAGAGGTTCAAAATAGACATGCTAAGATTTATAAAAATAGATTTGTCTGTCACCTCTAATTTCACATTTTTTTAAAAAATGAGTTGTGTTTCAATGAAAATTTTCAGATAAATTGAACATCTGAGCATATGGCAATTGGAAGATAATCACGGTTTTCAGAGTTTGGAGACAGACAACACAGGGTAATTGGTGAAGATGATCTTTTTTTTGAATAGCCTAAACAATTTTATTTCACTCACCCTGATGACAGATGGTAGATATAGTTATTACTAATTGCATTTTATGGCAAGGAAGAGGTTGAAGAATAAAAATGTTGACTTACCTGTGGCTAAAGCCATATGTCACCTTATAAGGAGTTTGAGTCTGGTACTAAAATCCTGACTCCTTCACTATAGCATTTGTGACGTTGGGGACACATCTGGGGCTTCAGTTACTCAGCTTTGCTATGACAGAGCTCCCCATTTCCTCTTGGATCAGTGTGCTCCATGGATAAACAACACTGGGATCACTTCCATGTTTCTTCAAACCATGGCCTTTCACCCTGACCTACAGAATTAGAATGCATGTTTGAAGAGCCCAGAAGAGAACTTGGCAGGGAACAAGGAAAGGGATTTGCTAAGCAAGTCTATCCCTGGAACTCATGCAAAAGTGGAAGGAGAGAGCTGACTCTGAGAGTTGCTCCCTGCCTTCCACGTGTGCACCATGGCACAGGTTTTCCCCATCATGTTCTTACATACCTAATAATACAGAATTGGAAAGCATCAATGTGCCCAGTCTGAAGACCAAAATGACTCCTGTCAACATGGCACTCCAAACAGATCTAGGTTTAAGGTTCTCAGTGATTCCCTCCAGTGACAGCACTCCCCATGTGATCTAAGAGGCTTACCCTTGTAGAAGAGGTGGCCTGGAATATGCCACAGAATGAATACACAAATCAAGGTAAAGACATTTTGCACAGCAGGGCTTCAGCTGTCCTGAGCAAGAGGATCTTCAAATCTCCGGAACCCTGCTGTCAGTTTTATCGGGGATCAGGTTTTTCCTGAACACTCAGAACATGATGATCCTGCTTCCTTGTATCCATTTCCTTCTTTTAGAGAAGGTGGTCTAATTTTATAGCAAAAGTTACTTGTTCCTGATTTTATGTGGCACAAGCGGTAACCCAAGCTGTCTTTCCCCTGCCATGGCTTCCTTTCCCCTCCTCCTCCCACCCGTCCAGGCCTCACATTACTGCCAGGCCATTTACACCATCTGCTCATTAAGTGTCTGTTGATGGGAGAATGGAGGACACCTGGTGACCATGAAGTCAGGCCAATACACGGAGGAAAATCAGCAAAGTGGTACAAAGTATAAAAGAAGCTAGATCTTGGCAGTCCAGAGGGTTGAATTTCAGAGAAAGGAGGGACAAGTGAAGCCCAGAGCTGTCCTTTTATTTCCTGACCTTGTGCTCTGTGAGCACTGCCCTTGGAAAGCACAGAGAGTCCTTAGGAAGCAGAGGCACATACATTTTTTTTCGCTGAATAGTTTCTCCGAGTAAAGCAAACAGTATACAGGAAGCCTCCTATGGGCACCTGTTGGACTGAAGATGGCTGAAAGGCCATCTGCGTGCCCAAGTTGCTAGCTAGGTCACTCCTTCTCATTCCACAAAGCCTGCCCAGTCAACTGTTTATCAGTTTTGAAAGCACATTCACATAGAAAGACCTAGGTATAACCTGCAGAAACATGGCCAGAGGGCTGCTCAATGGAACACTGGGCCTCAGAGAATCAAATAAGGATGTACAGCCCTCACTTTCCTCCACAGAGCCTCAGCAGTCAGTCATACCTCCCCTCGGCTCAGAATATCTTCAAACCATCTGTCATCTGTTTAGGTCATGGTTTCTATTTACAACATGAAGCTGTATCAGTTCCCTTTCTAGTTTGTAAGTTCCAAGTCTGTTAAAAACTTTCTTAACCAGGTATATCAGTTTTTACAGTGTTCAGGGTCTTCGTTTCAGTACAAAGTATATTCTAATCAAGTGAAAGGCCTTCAGACCAGAGTCCTTGCTCATAACTTCTTGTGGGACCATGCACAAAATAGTCGATGTCCTGTTTCACATTCTTTATCCCTAGAACAGGATAATGATAGCCGCCTGCCTTACAGGTTTGTTGTAAAAACTGCATTAATACATGTGTAAGAAGAAAGAAGTAGATTCTCACACAGAGTTGCCTTCTAAGCAAGTGTCTGCTATTGTTATCGGAGAAGTACGATCACTGGGAAACTTGTTTTCTTTCATTTGCACCCACGGGGAAGAGAGGCTAATTAAAGCAACTGTTATGATCAGCATTTGTATGGATTCCAGGCACAGAGGAAAGGTGATAAACCTCTCCCATCTCCCCATTCCCCACCGCCTTCCTTTCCATTATCTTATTATTTGATTCCCACTTCTTTTAGAGAAAATAAGAAAAAAAAGAAAGAAATCTATGTAATGATTCTTTCCTATGGCGTCTTCCTTGTCAGCAGCTGCTTCATGACCGGAAGGTATTGATGTATTGAAGGTTCCCTCAAGCTTGCTCAAGCAGGGAATTAACTTCAAGCTCAGGGGTGAGCGGGGGCTCTACTGAGCCCAAGTACCATGCTGCTCTTCCAGCCTAGTCCAGTTCTGTACAGTGGGTCAAGTCATGGGTCTTGGAACTAATGTGATTCCAAGCGGAAGGGTGCTTGTGTGAAGGGATGGAGAGAGAGACAGAGAGACGGAGAGATAGAGAGAGACTCTTTCATTCCTCACTTTAGACAGACATGGCAACCAAAAATATTGTTCTACTTATAAAGAATTGGGCACATGCAGTGATCACAATGTCTTGGCGGAAGTGAAAATAATGGGGGAACTGAGGCTGTATTATCTTAGGATGGCTACTGACTGTTCCTGTCAAGGGAGCCAAACATCAGCAAACGTTCTGAGTTTTAAGGAGAACTCCAGAAATCTGGATTTTTAGAAATCATGCGGAATTCCCATGTTTTAAACAGCATCTTAAATATACATAAAACAGTGAACCTTACCCTTTAGCTTCAATATGTCACTACATTGTTCACAATGAGTGCTATAGTTTGTATCCAAAGTGTCCTGAAGAGGACCACGTGTTAAAGGGTTTGTCCCCAGCTTGTTTTAATAGAAATTAAAGGAACATTAAAGAGGTCATGGCTAACAAGAGTGTTTGGGGGCATTGAAGACTCTTTAAGGCAGTGATTCTCAACCTTCCTAATGCTGTTGAGAGATCCCAACTCAGCATTTTTAGACCCCCTAGAGACTAGCCCATCACAGAGTGACTTCCCCTTCTGCCCTCTCCTGAGAAACCAGAGACCTCAAGATAAACCTAAAAGTTAACCCTCCCTGATCCAGGAACTAGCTCACCACATTCCTGCTCAATGTTTAACTGTGCAATGCCTAAAAGAATGCTTGCTTGAGATGACCTTCCTGTTAAGACATAAGCTATCATTTAACTTCCTCATCCTTTATGTTTATGATGTTTGCCTAACTCCCCAATTCAGTTTTTCCCTTTTAAAAACCCCCAACTGCAGCTACTAGGGGGTCGAACTCCCCTGCCCCTGTGAGGGTCATGAGCTCGACCCAGTACACTGGTTCTCCGAATAAACCTCATGTGCTTGCAGCAAGAACAGGTCTCTCTTGAATTATTGGGGCAGCGGCTTATCCCGAGACTTGAGTGAGAGTCTCCCCACTATGGGGGTCTTTCACTGTGACCCTTCAATAGTGCTCCTCATGCTGTGGTGACCCCAATCCATAAAATTATTTTCATTGCTACTTCATAACTGTAGTTTTGTCACTTTTAAGAGTCATAATGCACAATCTGTGTTTTCCAATGGTCTTAAGTGACCTCTGTGAAAGAGTTGCTTGACCCATTGGAGGGCTTATGACTCACGGGTTGAGAACCACTGTTTAAGGGAGTGCAGGCTGCTGTTCTCTCCCTGTTTCTCTTTTGTCTTCCTAACATGGAGTTAGTAACTTTCCTTCCATTCCTGTTCCCTGCATGTTGTATTATGTTCCCTAACCACATGATGGAAGAACTGACCTGTTCCATCTGTACCACTCAGACCTAGATTCAGGGCTTTCAGTTGGCCTACCCAACATCTACCCCATCGAAGAACTGCTGGAGCATGTCATGGGACCAGTACTGCAGACCCAAAACTGCAGGATCTCCACAACACAGAGAAACAACAGGATATCCAAGAGGAGTCCTGGTGAGGATCCAGTGTTGATAGTGTGGCAGAAGCCAGAGGCTGGGAACCAGACCAGTGACTCAATGAACATCTTCAAGGAAAGGTGTTTGGGCAAAAAGGTAGACTAGGTGACACACTGTGACACACTGCAGCTCCCACTGAGAGATGTTTCTCTCTTTAATTTGCAGTTTTAGTACCCTTTCTTTTTCTATTTTGGGGACTGCAAGGGGTGGAGGTCAGATGCAGAGAGATAGGGAGATGAATGGGATTGGGGTACATGATAGAAAATTCACAAAGAATCAAGAAAAAGTAAAAAATAGAGGATCTCATCTGGTATATAGACACAGAGGTGGAGATGGGATGAAAGAGATAAATGCAGAGAGGTGTGTATGAACAGGGAGAAAGAGAGAAAGTGAGAGAGACCTAGAGAGGGAAAAGGAGAGCGAGAGAAAGAGAAAAGGAGAGGGTTTTCAGATCAAATATGATTTCCATTTGAGGATTTGAACAGTTTTTTAAATTTTACTTTGAAATGATTTTAGACATTCATGAAGCTTTAAATGTATTACAAAGACATTTCACATACATCCGTTTAGATTTCCCGAATAAAGTTTGTATTTACTGTGTTTGCTTTGCCCTTAGGTCTCATTCTGTTTGTCTCATTGTATGTATGTCTAAGTTTTTGTACATTCTCTGGAACTGCTTGCAGGCTCAGTGTCCTACTTTTAAAGGTTTAGTATATTTATCCCAGACAATAATGTCCTTTTCTTTCTCAAAGTGCAATAATCAAATTAGTAGATGACCATGCATGTTACCTAACTGTGAGTTTATGCAGCCACATTTCTTTGCTGCCAAAAAAGCCCCAGGCTTAAGTCCCAGTCCTAAGAGTGTCCATACTGAATTTTGTGGCCATGCTTCATTAGCCTATTTCAAGTAACTTTTTTTTTTGGCTTAGAGAAAATAGTTCCTGCTTTTCTTTCATAACAAACATCAAACTTGTTTTGTATATTGATATTTCAGAACATAGGTCATCCATCAATATTTCAGAAGATAATTTATAATCCTTTGATGTAGGTTTGTTTAATATGTGCTGAGGATTAAATTCCAGTAACTGGTGAGGTAGGAACATCAAGAGGAACAGCTGTGTTCACAGTGCAAGTTTGCCTGAATGGGAGCATTTGAAATAGACCGTTACTTTGCTTTTGGGAGAGAAATGCTTTCTATATGAAGTGCTTGACTAGTAACTGTGGTGACTCCCATGCAGGCTTTACCACAGGCAGGGGGAAACAATCCATGAAGAGACAAGAATGAATCTTGGCTCAGCCTGATTTTATTGTAACCAGTGCTGGACCAGGACTTCTGGCATCTGTTCCAGATCATTTTACTTTATCCATATTTAAGCATAGCACACTTTTTGAAAAAAGTATTCAGATAATAATGAACTCAGTCCCAAGTTCACAACAACTTAAGACATGATTCCATTGAGATTCCTTACAAATTACATCTGGAATCTTTTGCAAGAATGCGTACTGTTGACTCAGATATAGTGCCCAAGATTGAGGGTCTAAGGAGCTTGACTGTCGTAAGCATAATGCTTATATGTGTCAGGATTAGCCAGGCCCAAAGATAACGTCGAAGCCATTCAGGCTGTTGCAAAGCACAAGTAACCTCACTCATACGAGTGGGTTTTATGGTCTAAAATAATTCTCAATATTTAGGGGCAAAGGTACTGAATAATTACAAAACTAAATTCTGGGACATATAGCAAAGTCTGTCTCATCCAACAGCAAAGGATCACCAGGTTGTAAAACTGCCTCAATCCTAGCATTCCAGGAAAAGCAGCTGTGTACCTCATTCCATTAAAGAGGTAAGCTGTGTTTTCACTTTCCTGCTTTCTTCAGTTCCTATCTGGGTGCACAAGACTTTTTGCTCTCTGCAATTAACTAGTTTTCTGATGATA